TTGCTAAAAAGAGTCCCACACATTAGAAGGAAAGCACACCCGCTACTTTATGGTTATCATATGTTAGAATAATAGGAAATAGTCCCATGGTCATCTTTTTTCTAGAAACACTTCCTAAACTACAAAAGAGAAATGATCTGTCCTATTACTTAAAGCATTCAAGCAACGAGATCTCTCAATGGTCCTATTCAGGATTGAACAGTCAGTTACATTGTGATTATTCTCCCTTTGTCTGACCAGATGGGGAATGGCTACAATTCTTAGAGAGTTATAAAAATCACAAATAAAGCATATGCAATATAATGACACCCTGTTTGTCTGAGAAAGAACATGTTCTGGCAAGTCCTGGAAATTAAATCCACTCCAGAATAGTATACTAGAAAACAATTTTCTAATTTAATACGTAATTTGACTATAAAGAGCTTTAAAATGAGTCTATGTTAATGACCACAAAATAAATAAAACAAAATTTGACAAAATTATAAGAAAAAAATAATAAATCTAAAATGATGTTTTTTAACACAACTCTCAGTGATTAAGAAAACAGGCAAATATTTAGCAAGAATATGGTTGATATAAGCAATAGACAAACTTAATCTAGTAAACACATTTAGAATCCATACCCAATAATTAGAGAATGCATTTTCTTTTCAAGTCCAACCGAAACATTTACAAAAATTGACTATATACTAGACCACAAAGCAAGTTCAAGAAATACTAAAGAGCCTCTATCATATAGACCAAATTTTCTGACTGTAATGCAATTGTTAGAAAGTATTTATGAAAATGTGACTTAAAGAAAATTCACATTTTAAAATTAAAAATATAACATGTTTAAAGAAATGAAGGAAAATGTTCAATATTTGCAATGAAATGGAAATAAAACTATTGTATATCAAAACATATGAAATGTAGCTAAGGTAGTACTGAAGAAGAATTTGTAGTTTCAAATAAATATATTGCAAAAGACTAAGACCTCCAAATTAATGAGCTAAGCTTTCAACTCAAATTAGAACAGGAAAAAGAGAATTAGCAAAAGCAACACAGGGCAGAAACCAACAAAACAGAAAATTAAAGATATAATCTTTCCTATTGTATCTTCATTTTATATTTAATTTCTGCTCTAGGCCTAGACGGTTTGCTCCCCAAATAATGAGTAATATAACCTTGATACCAAAACCAGACAAAGACAAAATAAGAAAGGAAATTACAGGTCTATCTCAGGAATATAAATGTAAATATTAGCGACCTGAATCCAGCTAATATAACAAGAATACATATCATAACCAAAGGAGCTTATCCAAGGAATACAAGGATGATTTAACAATAGAAAATTACAAATTAAAATTGATTATAACAACTATATGACATTGTGTTAACAATGTATAACAACTATATAACATTGTGTTAATGTATGAAGAAAGATTACATGCTAAAATTCAATATCCATTAATGACAAAAATAACCTAGCATAATAAAAGACATCTTGAGTGTGTTCAACATTAATTTTTAAAAAAGTGTGAAAGGAGACTGATCAGAAAGAGTCAAGGCAATTTTGAAGTAGAATAACATGAAGAGGCACATCCTACCAAACTGAACAGATGCTATATAAACCATAGGGTGGTTTTAGTAAATGGACATAAACCAGGGTGCATTAGTCAATTCCATACACACAAGAAAACTTAACATTGTACAGAAGTGTCATGTGAACTCACTGGAGAGATGAACCATCCAAATGAGTACAGTGGCATAGTTAGTTTTCCATAGCAGAAAAATAAATAAATCCCAACTTCACATCATATAAAAAAAATCATTTCCAGGGGTTTTAAGACTTATATTTGAAAACAAATTTTAGAACTATTTGGAGAAAATACAGGATAACATCTTTATGATATTAAGGCAGAGGTGAATTCTTAAATAAAACTTTATATGTACAATTGTGATCAAAGTTTATGTATAACAAGGATATGATGAAAATAGGAATCAATAAGCTAAAAAAAGGAGGGTGTCCATGATGCATATAAATAAACAAAGGATTACTATCCAGAAGGTAAAAAGAATAAATAGTTTAATTTTTTTAAATGGGCAAAAATGAGTGAGCAATTTATGGAATCACCTATTATATAAAAGCTGTTCAATATAATTTGTAATGAGGGAAATGCAAAGTAAGACAACAAAAGCATCCATTAGATTTTTTTTTTTTAACTAAAAGCTCAATGATATCAAAGGTTGGGAAGGTTGTAGAGCAATGGGAATTCACATTCACTGCAGATGAAAGTATTTACTGATTTAGAGAGAAATAGCATTTAATAAAGTGGAGGGCATATAAATCCATGGCCCACCAAATCCCTTCCTAGATGTGTAGCAAAGAAACTCTCACACATGTCTAGGAGAAATGTGCAAGAATGTTCACTGCAATATTGTAACAATGAAAGCAACCTAACTCTCCACCAACAAAATAAGGAATCAAACTATTGTGGATTTAATTATAATGGAATACCATTTAATTGTGTTGTTAAAATTAATAAATCAACTTAAGTGCCAAAAATTTGGGGAGAAGAACAGACTTGATTGATATATCAGGATCTCATTTGCATGAAATTTCAAAGCATACACAATATTATATATTGTTCCTGAGTCCATGTACATATAAGAAAACATAAAATCATGCATGGGAATGAATGATGATGCAAAAGTTAGGGTAGTGATTACCTTGGTAGAGAAGAGGAAAACAGATCAGGGTATACTAAAAAAGGGAGCTTTGTTTTATCTGTAATGTCTCAATTTCTCTGTAAAAGATTTAATAAATATGGCAAGAGGTAGTTGGTGGGCACATAGATGTAATATTGTTTGCTCTTCTATTTGCTTCAAATATATTGTGATTTTTTAAAAGGAAGTTAGTAATATTCTTTTAAATACAAAAGCATGGTGGTCACTTGCATTGAAGGAGGAAAAGGCAGGATAAGATGAGAAAGTTTCCCAGCAGATCTCTAGCATAGTCTGGTGCTTAAGTGCTAACATGATCCATGCTTGGAAAAGATGAGACTTCCCAAGTTTGGACTGAAATAAATGAGCTGTGGTCAGGTAAGAGGGAGGAAGAGAAATTACCATGACTTTTCCCTGCCCTTTCTTGCCCTGTTGCCCCAGCTCTGTTTCCTTCCATCTCCTCTCTCTCCCTCACTAGCATGGCACAGAAAGCCACAGCTGCCTAACTTTATGGAAGAAATGTAGCTAACCATATAACTCTGTCTTTGCCATCCCCAGCAGACTTCCTCCAGGCACTGGGGAACCTCCATTAATTAGAGGAAATCAAAACTCTACGATATGTACACTCACATACCAGAAATTTTCCTCTCATTTGGGGCATTAGAAATTCAAGCAGTATGAAAATTCTACAGAAGCTATGTGGCCAAAAAATTATTATTGAGCCTTGAAGTAAGAGAGAATTGTATTAACATTTATTAACTTGTGCTAATCTCCTAGATATTTAAATTAGATTCAGTAAAGTTGTATTTAACTCTTATGTTCTTGAGCATTTCCCTATATTTTCATTATTTCTAATATAATGAGTTTTTTTTTTAAGATTTTATTTATTTATTTGACAGAGAGAGATCACAAGCAGGCAGAGAGAGAGAGGAGGAAGCAGGCTCCCCCCTGAGCGGAGAGCCCGATGCGGGGCTTGATCCCAGGACCCTGAGATCATGACCTGAGCCGAAGGCAGTGGCTCAACCCACTGAGCCACCCAGGCGCCCCTATAATGATAGTTTCTAACATATTATTGGATTGCTCTCTGTGAACAGCATTCTCATCATGTAAATGCCAATGCTGTTTATGAGGGGTTCAGAGATCCTACTTAACTATATGTAAAAGAAGATTGAAGTTTTAAATATTAAATTTTCCAAAGCAATATATATGTGATTTAAGAATTTTCTTTATTTTGAATTTTTTTTAATGTAGTAAAAATTCACATAATCCAAAAGAATATAAAGGTATTATACTAAAGGTAACTCTCTTTCCTGTACATTGTCCCATGAGTTCCTTCCCCAGAGGCAGCCATTTTCAATTTCCTGTTTCTCTAAGATACCTTATATGTGGACAAATAGGCATCAAAAAGAATTGTTTTAGTAGTCCATTCCATAGGAATCGTATTTCAAAATGTCTGTATTCTTAACACATTCAGTGCTTCTCTGTTTGAGGCCAAATGTGTAGTGCAGAAATCTTCAGGCTTGGGGCAAGACACAATATAAGTAAAACCCAATCACTTGAGCAAGATTTTGAAGCCAGCCATGATAAAAGTGACAGAGATGTTATAATGATTATTAAACTCTTTATAGAAAAATCAGGAGAGAACAGTGTCAATGCAGTAAGTTCCAAGATTTGAGTCTGGTACCAGTTAGACATAAACAATTAAGTGGCATGTATAACTAGCTTGTGTTATCCTGTAAGGATACCAAACTATATGGGTAATTATTTTGTCTAAAATTGAATGTAATCTTTAAAAAAAAAACTGATTATACTGAAGTGTATCTAAATAATTTCTTTCTTAAGCAGTCTAATATTTAGCCAGTTCTGAAATAACTGTCAGAGACTACCCGATTAGTCTGTTTTTCTACCTCTGCTAAAATGTATACCTAACAAAAAGTTTGCAATAAAAATCCCAAGAACGAATGTATGATGTGGGTGGAGGATGGGTTAAATATGTGATGGGGATTAAGGAATACACTTGCTATGATGAGCACCAGCTATTATATGGAAGTGTTGAATCACTAATATTACACTGTATGTTAATTAACTGGAATTTAAATAAAAACTTAAAAATAATTTAAAATTTTTTATTTTAAAAAAAGTATGTGATGTCCAAGAGTATTATTCATATTAGCTTGTTACTCTTCAACACAATATATTTGGTATTTCCCATGGATGCAAAGGGTTTTCATGTATTTTTTCTAAACCTATATTTGAGATCCATTTGTAAGAAAAATGTCACCTTTGTCTTTTAGGCTCTTCTAACCTATAGGAGTGACCCAACCATGAGAAAAATGTTGAGTCATCTGTATTTCTATATCATGCCTGTGTTTAACGTTGATGGATACCATTTTAGCTGGACCAGTGTAAGTCACTTTGCCTATCCAATTGAAAAGAGAGACTAAATATATAGAAAACAGCCATAGAACAGGAAGGAAACCTGGTGGGCAGACAGCCTAGTGATTCCAGAACTGCAAAAGAGACCTCCACTCCCTGTCCATCATAGCCGCAAACTTTGGTTTATATGTTTGGCTTTGCATGAGATTCCGTATCTCATTTGGAAGATTTCTCCTTCCAAAGAAATTGTGAAAAGTCACTAGTCTAGCCCAACTTACTCAATTTTGCCCAAGAAGAAATAAGGCCAAGAGAAGCTAAGAGAGTAAGTGTGTGACAGAAATTAGAGCATGACCCTGGGGTCTCTGGGGTCTCTGGGTCTCTGCTCCTTATCCATTCCTTGTCTGTTCCTAGAGGAGCTCTCTCTGCAGTGCTGTGATTCATTCACCAGTTGTGCTATAAAAATGCATGTGAATAACTTTTGAATATTTTTTCTACACCTATTTTCTTAATTACACTTAGGATCGATTTTGGAGAAAAACAAGGTCAAGGAACTCAAGGTTTCGCTGCCGTGGAGTTGATGCCAATCGTAACTGGAAAGTGAAATGGTGTGGTAAGTTGGAAACTAACTGGAATTTGGATCCAGAGGTTTCCACAGCTTTCACTCTCAAAAATGATGAGCCCATTAGGACTCCAATATAAGACTGATGTTTTCCTGTGTGTGAAAACTTAACAGAGAAAAACACAGATATGTACATTGTAGCTATAATTTCTAAAAGAAAATGAAAGGAATTTTTAATATGGAAATATCAAAGATTTACATCTGTCAACCCAATCTTGAAAATTGAAAATTTAAACACAGATGTAAAAGCAGAAAACTGAGGAATATTCGACATTCAGAAACTAAAACAGAACTGTGGTTTGAGGTATAAATCTGGTTAAATGTTTTCTTCCTTTCATTGAGAAAGTGAGAGTAATTCTGATCCTGCTTTCATCTGGCTATAACAATCAAAAGTACTAAATCCTTGTCTAGAATCTACCTAAGGTCTCATGCATTGACTGACCACTTACATGGCAAGTATATTTCTGCTACATTGCATCCATCATTAATACCTTTCAAGTGAAGAGAGGATGTCTTTTTTTTTTTTTTTTTTTTTGAGAGGATGTCATTTTAAGAAACTGTTTTCAAAATAAAGAAACAGCTAGGTACTAGAGAGGGGAAGGTGGAGAGAAGGGAGAAAATTAGCCATAGCTAGTATACAGGGGGCAAAACTTGATCTCTACTCACCTTGGTTTTTCAGCTGAAGCTCTTAAAAAGGCAGATTGGCAAAAGAAAAAGAGTTTATTAACATGTGCGGCACATGTCACATGGAAGAAACCTCATGAAAAGTAACTCAGAGTGGCAACTTAGAACTCTGGTTTATATAGCATCTTCAAGGAAATTGTAGAGAAATGACAGGACAAAGGAAAGTAGTTTGGGGATAAAATAACTAAAATAAATATATGGAAGCCAGCTAATGGAGGCAGGTTTGTTTGCAGATTCCTGGGGTGCTGTCTCTAGGATAATAAAGTCTGTCTCCAGTAAAAGAATTTATATCCTCTTTTTAGGCAGAAAAGGGGAAGGTAGAGAGAGGTTTTCCTGCATTTGCTGCTGCTTATTTGCCTTCAGCTCAAAATAATTTTCACATCAAAGAGGCATATTTTGGGGTGACATATTCTGGTTTCCTTCACTAGTATCATACTTGGCAATAGAAGGGAGGGTACAAAAAGTATTATCAAAAGGCAGTTGTAAGGAGCTCCCCTTTCAGAGTCCTTCCTTAGCTCCCTCCAAATGTAAACCATTGTGTAATAGAAGGTCTTCTGTTAGTCACTTAGAAATGTGGCCTATTCCCAAATCACTCATTCTCTGACGCATTAGATACCACTCCTCCCATCCTACCAGCATCAGACAGAGCAGCTGGGCATGGGTTCAGACTCCTTCCACACATCCTCTCCAGGCAACCTCCCTTGATCAGTTAGAACTCACAAATAAGAATATGTCTCTAGAATATAACAGATATGGTTTGATTCTACCATTATTAGCTCAGTGATTTGGGTGATTTTTTTTTTTTTTTTACTCATCAATTTATAACAATAACACCTATCTCATAGCATTCTTATGGGAATTAAAGGAATTTACATATGTTTAATGCCTAATTCAGTCCTAGTTCCAAACAGAGATCTAAATGTCAGTGATCTATCCCTTCTCCCCCAAGCTGCAGAACAGTCAATTGATCTCTGAGCCTCAGGTCCACTGTTAAAGTACTTCTTTCCTTCAGGAGAGTGTTGTGATGATAAGCCTTAAGGGGAACTTAAAAGGGTTTGCATTTGTGAGAGAAGAAAAGCATCACATAGATATTATAAAGTGCTGTTAATGATGGCTGTTTATATTTTAAAATTTTTTCTTCAGGGCACCTGGGTGGCTCAGTTGGTTAAGCATCTGACTTGATTTCACTTTAGGTCATGATTTGAGGGTCATGAGATCAAGCCCTGCATCAGGCTCCACATTCAGCAGGAAGTCTGCCTAAGATTGCCTCTCCCTCTCCCTCTGTGCCTCCCACCCTCTCTCTCTAAAATAAAGAAATAAATCTAAAAATTTTTTTTTCTTCAGCCTGGACTGAGACAAAAAGCTGGTTCACATTAACTCCCTAAAACTACTAATATTTTTAAAATTCTTCCCCCCCCCTTTCTGATGCAACCATTTTGCATGCTCATAACTGTGTGTCCTATTTCATTAGTTGGTAGATATCTGTATCCATGTGTATGTCACACAAATGATGCCCACAGTCATCTAAGTGAGTGCACTGAATGGATAGCTAAGCTTAGTAACACTAGCAGGCCAGCCAGCTCTGCCTGTAGAAAGTTAGACTCTTGTCTATATCCAGTTACAAATAAGTGTCTTGCTTTCCATCGTTCTTTTTCCTTTACCTGGCTTGTTTCCTTCATACATAGACCTTCACTGTTTTCTTAGTTTCATCTGCAGTCCTCACTAGAATTCCTTTGATCCTTCGGATTTCTGAATCATTCAGATTCTTCCTGTGAGTCTGTACTCAAGATGTACAAGGGGATTATGTCAATTGTCAGTTGCAAAATGACCTTGGTAGACTGTTGTAAGTGATGTGGAAATGCAGGCAGCCTGGCTGGGATCATCTCTCCCCACAAGGTGTCCCGAGGGGATGTAGATGATCTGACAGGTAGGCAGATGTGGACTTCCTCCCCCACAGCATCATCTCCCCACAGCTATTGGCTTGGTCCAGGGGACAGTGAACCTCACTGAGGGAACCACTCTGAGGTCAAGGGCCCAGAAATAATTGTAGTCTCTAAGTGAGGCTCCAAATAAACAACCATAGTATAAATGACTTAGAAATGCCCAGGAATGCCCAGGACCATTGAAAACACTATAGAGTCAACATTGAACTGACAAAAACAGCTATTTCTTTCCTTAAATGAGTCTCAAACTCAAAGAGTAGAACATGAAACTCTTTTTTATCATGAAAAACCCATGGATTCCCACATAACAGTGTTACACTTCAGTGCATTTAATGTGGAGTAGACGGACAGCCTAGAACATACTTCCTAGCTCCCCCAGGGGTCTTCAGGCCATGAAATGAATATCATTGCTCAAAAGTGGATCCAACAGGGAGTCAACAAGTCAAAGTAGTAGTGGGAACCAAGAATAAATATACTAATTATATTCATTAATTTGCCATAGTTAATTAAGTACATACTCTCTGCTAGGCACTGTGGGTTGTTATGTTTTTTGCTTGTTTGTTTGTTTCCTTCTTCTATGTACTCTTTTTGGAGAACATCATGTGCACTGCTTCTTCCAAACTGGAACAAATCCAGGAGAGAGGCAAAGAGTTTGGATGATATCCATGTTTAAATTTTAATCCTTAAATAACTCAAGTGTTGCCTAAAAATAAGTTATTATTAGGACAACCTACAGAATGGAAGAATTTGCAAATGACATGTCTAATAAGAGGCTTTTATTTAGAATATTAAAATAACTCTTACAGCTCAACAATAAAAAACAACTCAATTTAAAATGGGCAAATGATTCAGACAGACACTTCTTTAAAGATTTACAAATGCGAATAAGTACATTGAAAAAAAAATGCTCAACATCATTAGCCATCAGGGAAATTCACTTCAAGATGCCACATCACACCCACTAAGATGGCTATAATAAAAAAGACAGACAATAACAAGTGTTGGTAAAGGTATGGAGAAGCTGGAACTCTCATACTTGCTGGTAGTCATGTAAAATGATGTGGTCATTTTGGAAAACTGTTTAATGGTCACTCAAAAAGTTAAACATAGAGTTACCATATAACCTAGCAATTCTACTGCTACATATATATCTAAGAGAAATGAAAACATTTGTCCATACAATGCATGTACACAAATGTTCATAGCAGCATTATTTATAATAGTCAAAAACTGGAAATTGTTCAAATGTCTGTCAACCAAGGAATAGATAATAGTATTTAGCCATTAAAAGAATACATACTGATACAACATAGATGCAACATAGATGAAACATTATCCTAAGTGAGATAAGACAGTCATAAAATAATATTGTAGATTCCATTTATATGAAATGTCCAGAATAGGCAAATCCATAGGGACAGATAGTAGATCAGTGGTTGCTCAGGGCTAGGGAGGGGTGGGGGGGAATGCTACTGAGGAAGGGGTTTCTCTTTGGGATGATAATGTTGTTGGAATTAGATTGTAGTGATGATTGTGAATATACTAAAATTCATCCAATTGTACACTTCAAAAAAGCAAATTTTATTACCATTTAAGAGCATGTTGGGCATTTAATGAAATATAACTCTTTTTAGAACACTCCATTATCTAATATTATAAATTAGGTATAGTGTGGAGAAAATCATTTTTTAACAGTGCAATCACAAATGCCTCTCTCTACAGATGCCCTTCTCCTACCAACACCCCCTCACTCTATCAAAAAAAAGGGGGGGGGACCTGTTTTGATTTGGCAAATGTTTCAATAAGTCACCTGAAATGAAAGGGGAGCTACTATGTACTGTTTGTTTGCAGCCAATACCTGTGAAAGAGCAATGGATGGTCACTGGCCTGCTTGTTAAGAGGATGAGTTCTTCTAGCTGAAAGGCTTTTGCTTTAAACCTGAACTGAATTGCTATAAAAACATATAGAGAATTTCGGAGACAAAATTTGGGACAAGGAGAGGAAGAACAGGGAGAAGTGACGCTGCTGGAATATCTAGAAAGGGAATTCTTGGAAGTCAAAGATGATTAATGAGAATTTTAATTAAATTTTCCTGTAAAGTATGCAAATTCTCTTCAGTATTCCATAACCAGCACTGGTAATATTCAGTACACTTTCTTTCACTGATTAACGCTTTGTGGAATGGGATATGCTATTTGGGAATGTGAGGAAGTGCTGAGTCTATCCTCCAAATAAGCTCAGGGTGAGAACTAATTCACATCAAATTTTCAGAGGTATGGAATCCATAACAAGAATACACTAACTTATAAGACAAGAATGGCTAACATCTGCTAAGAATGATGCATAGATGGGATTGAACATCAA